TCTGTTATATAAATTGCTAAAATACTAAAACCACTGCTCAAAGAAGACAAAGGAAATGTAAAGCCCGAGTGAACAGGACCAAGCTCCCAAGAGCATTTCATGCACCATCTCAGAGCAACTGGTGTGAAGCACGCAGCCCCTGACAGCACAGTCTCACTTCACTGGTCCAAAGTCAGCACCCCGAGGATGTCATGGTGCGGACAGTGACACACTCCTGCAGCAAACTGAGCTATAGGATCCAGCTATTTTTGCAGTTAGATCAATATATACCATGAAATACTAAGAAAGAGAAATGTAAAGAAAATCAATATAATTTTGGAGCACTAGGCAACCTGCTAATTAATTGACATGCCTGATATTTATATAATGCTTTAAAATGGAAAAAGCATTCATATTTCTGCTCTCATTTAATCCTTACAACATTCCCATAAAATAGAAAAAGTTATCTCTAATTTCCTGATATAGAAATTTGGGGATCAGAGAGGAATAACCAGGCAGTAGGCAAGATTAAATGTACATATCTTCTGACCCCATGCTCTTTTCACTACGCTTTGCACCCCTTCAAGGGAACTGCCCTTTTTCAGTTCTTAAACCAACTGATTGAGTTCTTTCTCAGCATATGATTGTGAAAAGAATGCTGATTTATGGGAAATGAAAAACCTATGAAGGCATTCTCCAATAACCCTTTCCTTCCATCCATCTACAACAGACGTGTGCTCAGTGGGCAAATGGGAAATAAAGCAGCAGGGAATGAACAAGAGAATCAGGATGAACAATGACAGAAACTTAAGAGTCTGGTCTCTCTAGGAAGTTCTGCTCAACTTGCAAAAGCTTCTGGTCAAGGACCAGCTCAGCTAGAGGAAGTAATCCATAACAATGGCTAGTATTGTATTTGTAATATAGCACAGCAAAACTTTAAAAGCTGGACCCAGGCCAATGGGAAGAGTCATGGGCTTCCGGGATCTCAAATTTGGCCTGATCATTCTGTGAAACAATGTGACTCCTGAGTCTCTCTCTCCATTTGCAGTTGAGTTCACTCTCTCATTACCTTTTATGTAATCAACCAGAAAAGCTTCCTAACTTGTTTCTATGCCTCCAACTCTCCCTCCTTTCAGTCCACCTCCCACACTATCACCAATGCAATCTTCAGATGACATTTCCTCTAGAAATCTTCCTTGCTTCCTCCCACCCTAGGGTTTTTGGAATTAACCCCTCCTGCCCATGCTCCAATAGCACTTGCACCTCTCTGAACTATGGTATCTCTTCCCAACGTATCCTGTAAACTCCCCAAGGCAGCGGTCTTATATGCCCACAGTCTAGAGTCTTAGAGGTAGAAGATGTTGAATAAATGCTTATCAAATTGATCAAGGTATGCTTTACTTCTTCCTTTAAAATCTAGCTTGTTAGGGAAGCAGGATGTTCAGTGGGGAGAAGGAAAAAGCACCTCTGGGAAAGGCTCTCATGTTTCACAGTCTCCTGGTGTGTCACCTGCACCGACTAGCTGAGGAGAATGCTGAACACAGAGGGGCTTGGAGGAACCTCAACCAGTTCACTTGTGTGATGGTATGATCACCTCCAGTAACTGCTCACCACAAGGAAGGCAGGAAGGTGACCAACACCTCCTGTTGTTCCCTCAAAATATTGCAAGTTTTCTAGTGAAAACTGCACAAACGTCATGTTACTTTTCCTTGTCCCAAAGGCTCTGTTTATGTGTATGAGCTGCCATGCTAGGGTGCTACCAAAAGGGGGAATGGGAAGACAAGGGACTCTTCTCATTTCTGCCCTTCAAATCCAAAAGTAAAATAAAAGTTCACCTAAAAAATACTCCCTTGCCCCATTTGCTAGAAACAGCTTATTCTGTGAGTAATGTACTGCTGGTCAGTATTTGTGAACCACTAAATTTCCCTTTGTTAATAAGAAGGTTGTTTGGGATCTGCTGTCCCCATAGAGCTGGAGAACTTTCCAGGCCCAGATCTCATGTTGTCACAGATTTTCAACCCCAATACGAAGTCACAATAGAGACCTACCCCGACTACTACATCAAATAAAGAGCCAGGAACCAAAGAACATGAGTGATGCAGAGAACTTCACACCCTCACCGCTGCCTCTCTTTTCAGCTCTCTCCGATTGCTCAATTGAGACAATGTTTTCAATACCAATCCATCCATAACCCTAACCCTTTCCTGCTCTCCCACTTCTTCAGTACCCTCCCCTTCCTTCCTTATGGAACCTAAGGCCACCAATCATTTTATCATCTCCCTGTATAAGCCCTCCATTTCCTTGCCATTTCATGCTTTGTTGAACTTTTAAGGCTGAAACCCAACATTACACACAAAGGCAGGCACACCAATGATCAAAACAGCATTTATAACAATCAAAAAGTGGAAATAAACCAAATGCCCATCCGCTGGTAAAGGGGCAATCAAAATGGGTATATCCATACAATGGAATAATATTCAGCAATAAAAAGGGACAACCACTAACATAGCTATAATATGAATGAACCTCAAAAGCATGGTAAGTGAAAAAAAGCCAGACATAGGACCCCACATATTTTAGAATTTCACTTATATGAAAGGCTCAGAAGAGGCAAATTTATGGAAATAGAAAATAAATGAGTGGTTCTTTGGAGCTGGGAACAGGAATGAGGGATTTTACTGGAGGGTTAGAAATGCTCTGAAATTGAATTGTGGTGAAGGTTGCACAACTTGGTCAATTTACTAATAATTATTGAATTGTACAATTAAAATGGGTAAATTATATGGTATATAATAATACTTCAATAAAGTTGTTTAAAAAAAACTGGTTATATTTGCCTGTTTTGTGACTCACTAGTGGAGCTACAAATAGCTGGAAAAGAGAAAAGCAACCACATTGGCTCTACTTAAGACTCAGTGAGTTCTTGTTTCTGTCCTCCAATCACACTCTGTTTCTCACGTTCCTTTTGTCTCATACTCTGCAATTATTTCACACCTTCTCTCTCCTCAAATCAACACCTCATCCCCTACTCTCCTTTTTCATCTGATAATCCTACTTTCTTCTTCACTGAGAAAAGTGAGGCCATCAGAAGAGAACTTCCAGATGTCCATCATCACACCTACCTGCTGCTTGTCACTATTATACTCTGCCTAGTAGCTACGTGTGGCTATGTAAATTGAGATTAAATAAAACTAAATATTCATTTCCTCAGTCTTACTAGTCACTTTTCAAATGCTTCATAGCTACACGTGGCTTGTGGCCCCTACACTGGACAGTGCTGTTCGGAGATGACCTATCTGTACATCTACCTAAAATATATCCTGTACTTATTTGTGAATCTCCTCACACCTAAGCTAAGGGCACTGCTCCAGCAATTCTTTCTTGCCTCCTGCATGATCTGTTTTCAACTCTATAAGAGATTATTTCCATGAGTACATAAACACGACTGTTATTTCCCTCATCTTAAAAAATAAAAGAGGGACAGTTTGGGGTGATGGGAAAGCTTTGGAAATAGATAATGGTATTCTCAACACAAAGAAATGATAAATATGTGCTCGTCTAGTAAACATATTGTAATATATAAATGTACCAAACCAACATGCTAAACACCTTAAACTTACATGGATGTTATATGTCAATTATATCTCAATGAGAAAAAAATTTAATGGTAATGGTTGCACAACACTGTAAATGTAATTAATGCCACTGAATTTTAAGTGGTTAAATGGCCAATTTTGTTATATATATATAATTTATATGCTACTATAACAAAAATTTTTTTAAAGATTTTATTTATTTATTTATTTTTAGAAAGGGAGACTGGAGGGAGAGAAACATTGATATGTGAGAGAAAGGTCTATCAGTTGCCTCTTGCACGTCCCCAACTAGGGACCTGGCCAACAACCCAGACATATACCCTGACCAGGAATTGAACCTGCGGCCTTTCTCTTTGTGGGACAATGCTCACCCGAGCCATGACAGTGAGGGCTAAAAAAATATTTTAAGGAAAAAAAATCTTTTGAAGGCATCAATTCCCTGCACCCACCACCAGCTATGGGCCTATTTCTCTGCTTCCCTTTATAGCAAAACTGTTCAAAACGCTTGTCTGTATTTGCCATCTCCAATTCTTGTCCTTGTGTTTTTGCTTTTAGCCCTCTAATTTCTCAAGTCCTTCTGCCCCACTACTCCACCAAAATTGCTTTTATCAGCTGCCAAATCCAATGGACGGTTACTCTTCATCGTACTTGATTTATCTGCAGCTTCTGATTACCTCCTCCTCTGAAAACATTTTTTCCCTGTTTCTGAGTCCCAGACCTGCCTCTCAAGACCTATTCCTCTATCTTTCACTCTCTGACCTCTTGGATCCTTGGCTTTGCCCACTAGGCCCCACCAAACCTCCTTAACTTCAACTGTTTGTTTACCTGGACCTCTGCCCACAGACAACTTGACTCTTCCAACTCACTCCAGCCACCCCTGCCCCCACCATTACTCCTTTACCTGAGTGCCCTGACTCCCCTTTCATCATTAATTCTGAGACCTTTCTGAAGAGCCAGCCAAGCCCTGGTCTATTTGATCTTTCTATTTAAGATCTAGTAAAGCCTATCTCATCCTTGACTAAGCCTTCTGCCTAAAAATAATGGATATGGATTTCTAACTCCTTAAAGGACATAGACAATCTTCCTGTGTTATAATACTCTTAGTTAAAATAGCTAAAGTTGTTGCCAAAAAGAATCAATGTCAAACACTTATTTGTATTTTCTTCAGTAGATCTACCTGCTTTACATAGATTTTTATTTGGATGATACCAGAACATACTTTGTATTATCCTGGTGCCTAAAAAAGAAGGCACTCTTTTAGATTTCTCAGGAAACTGGACAAAGATAGAAGATATGCTTGGATCCAGATAAAAATAAAATAAAATGATGGCTACTAGTGTCAGCCCAGGACTAGCAGTTTTTCAGTCCTAGCTTCCAATTTCCATCTTTAGTAATCGTACATCGCTTAGGATTAAAGCCACATACCTAGAAGCATCAAGGAATGGTCTATAGGCCAAGCTGATCCATTCTTCTCTATTGGATGAATATTTTGGCTCCCGGGGTGTTTCTCTCATTGTGTCCAAATCCACTAAATAATGGCATTTACTGATGTCGACCTGCAACGGAAAAAGGCCAGCTCTTCATCAGTAAGTACAAAGGTCCTTTCAGAGTAAATAAAACCAACTGCAATTCTAAGCATTCCCACAGGGTTTTAGAAGCACAAGCCTACAAGTCCTTGGAAGATGTTTACCTATGCTCTCTGCACTCAGATAAAAGAGTGCTAGGAATTGGGTTATTATTTAGGCTCCTGGGAGTAATAAATGTAATCATTATGACTTCTGTCTCTAGTTTGTGTATTAAGTCCTTCTAGCCATACAGACATTTCTGACACTAGCGTAAGTCTACAACTTACTCAAAAAAACTTTCTTCTTCTGCTCATGATTTCTCCCCTCCAATTGTCACTTCTTATTTCAGAGATTGAAAGGGCATGACCACACACACATGTTAATGTGGGAGGAAACCCTGTCTCTGTTGACAGAGCTGTGTGAGGTTACTACACCTCACAAATGGTACAAAAATATCATGTATACTGTCTCCTTCAAAAATTCAGCAGAACCGAAAGACACATGGGGACTGTTCCTGCAGCAACAACATCACACATTAGTATGCTCATAAGAGAATACTAATACATTTTATTTAAAATCACTTTGGCACTGTGCTTATAACACAATTAATTCAATGGAACATGCCTAACTGTAGAATCTTTCTGCAGCTAAATAGTTCATTTCAATCAATAATTACATTCTTTCTCTCATTCTGAAGCCATCAGAATATTTAATAGTTACAGGGAAAATTTGTAAACCTTAATTTTAAATAAAGTTTTAAAATAAAAAGTTTTATTTTTTAAAATAAAAAATAAAGATTACACACAAGTTTCTATGAGGTTAAATAAAACTCAAAGATGGAAAATACCACTGTGATGTTGTGATTTATAATAAATACATATTTTGGTCTATGGTTCCTGGCTCACAGACCCAGGAAATAACAAAAACCATTGTTATTTCCTAATTGATAAGAGCAATGGGAGCACCTTTGCATTATAATATTAGATCTCTCATCCTCAGTTCCTGAAATTCCTTCAAAGCTGCAAAAGTGAAAGGGGTGTCTCATTATTTATAACAAGCCCCTTTCAACCACAACTGATTTTATGATTTTGTTAATAAGGTGATTTTTGGAAAATACTTAAAAATGAGGGAGGAGGACTGGTCATCAGATGAACTAATCATGAGATTAGAGGGTTGGAATTTTCAGTCCCACCACTGACCTTTGAGGAGGAGAGAGGAATTAGACATTGAGTTCAATCACCAGTGCTCAATGATTTAATTAACAATGCCTGTGTAATGAAGCATCCATAAAAACTCAAAAGGACAGGTTCAGATAGCTTCTGGTTTGGTGAATACATGAAGATTCAGAGAGAATGGGGTGCTGGGAGAGAGCATGAGAGATCTGTACCCTTCCTCCATATCGTGTCCTATGCACCTCTTCCATCTGGCTGCTCAGAGTTATATCCTTTTCTAATAAACTGGTAATCTACTAAGTAAAATGTTTCTCTGAGTTCTATGAACTGCTCTAGAAAATTAATCAAATCCAAGGAGGGGGTCATGGAAACCACTAATTTATGGCCTGTAGGTCATAAGTCCAGTAACAACCTGGCCTTGAGTCTGGTGTCAGATGTGTGTGTGTGAGCTGGGGGCAGTATTATATGACTAAGCCCTCAACCTATGGAATCTAATGCTACCCAAGGGCAGACAGTGTCAGAATTGAGTTCAATTGTATGATACCCAGCTGGTGTCTAAGAATTGTTACTGTGAGGAAACTCCCCACACACACATTAGAAATTGGGTCCCAGAACCCTTTTAATCACAAATATAGTCAGCTAAAGAAAAGAAAATCTCAAGGGAACGAACACTATTATTTTTCACTTTTTTTTTTTTTTTACAAGCCAATTATGTTACATATACTGTAGGTCTGTTACCAGGTGTCTATCCCCAAGATAGACAATTGAGAAGACACCCCAGAGAAATTTCCAGCTAGATTTTATTAAGCTTATGCTTGAGCACAAGGGAGGCAGCACAGAGGAAGGAAAGTCCTCTGAACTGGCTCTGGGGCTGGCTCTGCTTGGCTGCTTTTATAAGGTGCGGACAAAGCGGGCTTGCTCAGAAAGGTGGGCTTTTTGAAAAAAGCAGGCTTTCAGAATTTTCCATTTCAGCGCCAGGTGACTTCCTTTTCCAGATGTGTTGCCTGTTATCTATCTTTGTGCACCCGCCAGATTGTTCATTTACTGCCACCCTAAGAAGGTCATATTCAACTGCACATGCTGGTCAGTAGGTCAAGCAGGAAGCTAGAAGTGAGATAAAATCAGCTGCCTCTGCATTTCTAAGTAAGGAGTGCAGGGGTAACGACATTTTTGCCCTTGCTCCTTCAGACCACCTGGTCTTAACTTGGCTTCCTGGCCACCTGGTATTTTTAAATCCCGGGCTTAAGTCCCTGTGTTCTCTCAGGTCCTCACTTAACAATGTTGTTAGGTTCTGTGGCTTTAAGTGAAACAATGTATCATGAACCAATTTTACCACAGGCTAATTGATATAAACATGAGTTAAGTTCCTACAGCATCTCACCAACATTATAATGAAACAATGTTGAAGAAAACATAATTCAAGGATCTACTGTATTATTTAGAAAGTTATCACATCAAGGTCTATAATATAGGGATTATTAATCCCTGTATTATAAATGAAGAAGCCAAGACTCAGGCTAATTAACTTTTTTTCAAAATACATATACCTAGCCCCTATAATGTACTAGGCATTAGGTTAGAACTAATAATATAGATCGAATAAATAAGACACAGTTCTTACCCTAAAAGGTTTTAAAGTACTAACCAAAATCATATGAGTATATAATAGGGCTGTTTTTCCACCAAGGTCAGTGTGACTTCAAAACTCATACATCAAGACTGCCAAAAATGACTGAATCACAAGCAAAGTGCTCTCTGGAGCTCATCTAAATTGTTTAAAATAAAAAAGAATCCTCCCCAACCCTAGCCAGAGTGGCTCGGTTGGTTGGAGCACTGTCCCGTACCCAGAGAGGTCGCAGGTTTGATTCCTGGTCAGGGCAAATACCTAGGTTGCCGGTAGGGTCCTCTGTTGGGGCACATAGGGGAAGGAACTGATCAGTGTCTCTCTCTTTCTCCCTTCCCCTCTCTCTAAAATTAATAAATGTATCCTTGGGAAAGGATTAGAAAAGAGAAAAGAGTCCTCCTAGAAAGTCAGGTTTCAGCTAAGATAAAGACCATTTGAGGCTTCTGATCAAAAGGGCAGCATAGGTAAACACAGTACTTGGAACTTTCCACACCCACATCAGAATTACAACTAAACTACAGAACAACTATTATTCAGAATTCAGAACTGCCTTAAATTTAGCTGAACAGAAGTCCTAATAACTAAGGATATAAAAAAGAAGCGACACTGAGACTGGTAGGAGGAGCGGAGACAGGGAAAGGGCTGGTCCCACACCCATGTGTGGTGGTTAAAAATAGGAGGGATACTTCAGCTGTGTAAGTCCCTCCTGAGGATCAAGGGGTCCCAGCCACACAGCAGAACCTCCATTCTGGTGCCAGGAAGAGAAGTCTCCATAATTTTTGGCCGTGAAAACCAGTGGGGATTATGGCTGAGTGAGACCGAGGCTCCGAGGCTCCTGGAGTCCCTGTGCACAGACATACTCACTCTGAGCTTTAGCACTGAGGCAGCAGCCTAAAAAGCACCAGGCACACATGAGAAGGAACTGAATTGTCAGACTTCAGGAGGAGGGCTGGAGGGGCAGCTATCTCCTAGAAAGAAAAGTGCGGGCAGAGGCAATTGCTCCTTTTCTTAGACCGGCCCCCAACAGAGTGGACAGGTAGGCAGCATATCTAAGTCTCTATCTACCTGGCTCACACTGTTCATTCCACTCTGGAAATTCCCTGAGGCCCCGTCTCACCCAACTTATAGGTCCACCCAAGCCCATTCCAGTGACTATTCCATACTAATGGTCTCTCTTGGCTCATGATGCCGACTTTCCTAAAATGTTTCAAACAAGCAGCATCTGGCCTCTGTATACCATGTACCTCTTGCTAAGTGGCCCCAGGCCCAGCACTAACAGCAGCCATCCTTGATTTACAGCTTGGCCTACACTGTGCACCTCCAAGCCCAACACATGCAACAGCTACCTACATACTGCTTTGTAGCTCATGCTGGGTGGCACCAGGAAGGGCACAGATGACAGTTGACATTGGCTTGCACCTCCCAAGAGGCCCCAGAGTTATTGTACCCCATTGACAGCTTCGAACCACACCAAAGCACCACAGAACCACATCCACTGACAATACACTCAAGGGGTGAACTAGCATGGCAGGTACCTGCTGAAGTGAGTTCTGCTCTGAGGGGTTGGCCCCAGGACAGCAGATCCTGCACACAGCCAGTCCTTGCATCCAACTGGCCTGGGGGTCAATCTCTCCTATCAATGTGCCAACAGCAATCAAAGCTCAACTACAATAAAAAGGTGAACACAGCCCACACAGGGGCATATCTGAAGCACCCAGCTTGGGTGACTAGGTAGGCTGTGCCACTGAGCCCTACAGGACACTTTCTACATAAGTCTACGCTGTCAAGTCTGAGAGGTGTAGCAGCTTTACAAATATATAGAAACAAAAAAAGGAAGGCAGTCAAAATGGAAAGACAAACAAAGATGTTTCAAATAAAAGAACAGAACAAAACTCCAGGAAAAAAGGTAAACAAAATAGAGACAAGCAATCTACCAGATGCAGAGTTTAGAACACTGGTTATAAGGATGATCAATGAACTTGAGGAAAAGTAGATGAACTTAGCAAGAATTTCAGCAAAGAGATGGGAAACATAAAAATAAAGGTAAAAAACATTAAAAAAAAGAACCAATCAGAAATAAAGGATACATTAAATAAAATGAAGAATACATTAAAGGGAATTAACAGTGGAGAAGATGAAACAGAGGATCAAATCAGCAATTAGGAAAATAAGGAAGAAGAATACACCCAATCAGA